TCAATTGCATATAGCTGCTGCCTGGAGGGTGCTCTGATGTTGCATATCCCTTTTTTTAGCATTTAAAAGAGGGTTGTGCAAAAATGTTCACTACTTTGATGACATAGTGTTACTGATGCTGTACTGTGTAGCCTATTTTGCTTCCTGGGAACAGGGTGAGGAATGGGAAGGACCTGTGAGATGGTCACAGGCAAAGGATTCCAACAATGATAGATTGGGATTCATGCTGGTGGTGACTCTAATTGTGTCTAATTGATGGGTGTTTGAAGGTAGTACTCCAAAACATGTGCTATTATACAGTTCAACACTTCTGGCTCTTAGGATTTCTTTAGAAGCTTTTGATTCTGAACACAGTTACAACATCTAACCTGAACTGTGGACATCCCAAGGCACTTCCAGTCACTGTGCTCCACTGCTCCACTGTCTTTCCCAATGCATGCTGTGCTCAGGGAGGAGGAGCTGGCTTGTTCTGACTTGACAAGACTACACATATTCCCCATTAAAATAACAGCCTCAGCTTTTTTCCTGGTCAACAAACCATCATGAAAGTTACAAGAGCTCCAAACTCAACCAGAAAACTCACCACTGAAGTTGTCCTTTTATACTATAAACTGTTCATTTGTTTTTGCTGCTGACTCACAAATGCTAGAGTCCAGTGTTGAATGGCACAAACAGGACTGCTGTGTGAAAATGTTAGTAAAGTCAATGACAATGCTGTTAAGGTCAGCTTTAAAGCAATAAGCATGAGCATTGTTTCTTAACAGTCATTACTATTCTAGCACTTATTAGCACCTACTGGTAAATCTAACTACCGTTGTATCACTATCACTCTAAATTTGCCCACTGCTATTTTTGCTAATAATTTAGGTTTATATGGCAAATTCTTCAAGTTTCATGGCTTGACTTTGTGTAGTATCTGTCCCTTGAGGGTTTTTACTATAGCATGAGCATCTAACAATTAGTGGCATTTAAAAACTACACAAATTTACATGTCCAAAAGTTCCAATGTAGAATTTTCTATTGATTCCCAAAAAAGGGTGTCAGCTATGTTAAAAACCACTCTAGCATCTTCCCCCAGGAATTCCCCAGTCATTCTTTGAGATACTGAAGGACAGGGATGAAAGGTGATAGCAAACTTCCAGTCTGCAAAAATGACAGACACTCGTAGAGGCTTTGCTTGCAATAACTGTGATTATCAAGGTCTTGGGAGAGACATTCCATTGGACAAAATTCTGTATTGTAGAACTATAAAGCGGACCTATGGACAAGGCTGGAGTGGCAGAATGCAGCCTTCTGAGTAGGCATCTTGCCATTCAGTTCAGCAAGATAAAAGGGAGGGTGCCTCCCATGTAGGCTGAGCAGCATAAATATGCCTTTCTTCAATTCACTCCTCTCTTGTGCTTGTTTACACCCTTGACAATTTAAGCCTTGTTCTTTATAGCATAGATTATGGTTGAAGTATGTGGGATGGTTATGAGGAAGCTCTAGGCAATGTTTATCTGGGTTGTTCTAATTTTTCCACAGAATAAAAGACTTCAAAGTACTTCTGCATGATTAACATGGTGTAGATACAGTAATCTGTTACGATAAAATTAATGGCACGTTACTGCAGTTTTAAGTCTTGGTAATGAGTAATAGTTTCACTTTAAAACAAGATCTTATCTCCGAAGCAGACCCTTCATATCTCTGCAGGTCCAAGTTATTTTCTTTGCCACAAAAGACAGATTTTGGTCATGTTATGCTGAAGTTGAGTGCAGGTCCAAGTTATTTTCTTTGCCACAAAAGACAGATTTTGGTCATGTTATGCTGAAGTTGAGTATTTAAATTTTGGAGACTTCTTGTCTTTACATGATACAAATTGAAAATTTAAAAAAAAAAAAGGGGG